CAAACTTTAATGCCTTCATTAACTAATGCATCATTAAGAATTTAACTATTCATTAGGCTTAATGATTCATTAAATTTAATAAATCGTTGATACAACCGGGTCCTGATGTTTTGGAGGTCCGTGTTCGCTCTGCTTTGTTTTGTGGACTTTTGTTCTTGAATACTGCTAGTTATCTCCAATATTACATAACAGATCAAAAGTCAATAAAATAATGCAAAATAGGAGGAAAGGAAACACTGACTTCCAAAAACATGATCAGATCAGATGAGATGGAAGAATGAGCAACCCCTACCGAATAATTATTTAATTTTCTAAATATTTAAATAAACAATTATCGATAAAAGTCTTACTAAATCAAAATTAAAAAAAAATTAATTTTGGCCAAAAAATATAAATTTATCTGAAGGATAATGCCTATTTCATAAATTATTTGTAATTTATGTAAATGCAAAATGTATTTGCTCTTCCTCTTATCTATTTTATGCCAGCAAATAAAAAAAATTCTTTCTGGCCTATAATACCATAAGTCCATAAAACAATACCAAATAGAATGACAACAAATACGGACTTCCAAAACATCAGAGGTGAGATCAGGTGCCATGGAGGGGAATGAGCATCTTCTGCTGACCGGTCACAGCCGCCGTGTGCTCCTTGTCACGATCATGAAATAACGGAAAAATCCATCTTCAATTCAGTGTATAAATAATGGACTAACAATTAGTATGAAAAACGTCAGTCAGCATTTGACTCAATGATGAATTGTATTTGGTGACAAGGTCATTGTATCGACCATAGAACTTACGAAATGATGACTTTAAACGAGACTGCTGATATTCTTGTTTCATCAACTTGCTTGTCAATAGTTTACCTCGTTTTAGAAATCGTTCATACGTAAGTCATACTTATGCATATCGAATCAGCTGAGATATATATAAAGTCATCATATAGCTTAGTTGTTAGATTACCATTATCGTCTTTTTCAAGTAAAATATCCAAATATGTAACAGATATATCAGACTCTGTGGTATTTTTTTTATCTCAAGCTCACCAGGATATATTGTTTCGACGTAGGAACGGAAATTTCCATTGTAATTTAACAATAAGTCGTCGATATATCTAAATGTCGAGTTGAAGGCTACAGCAAGTGTTTTCTTCTTTTCACGCATAGATTTTGCAGAAATTATGCTTCATATGAATATAAAAATTTGTCCGCTTATAACGGAGCGAAACTTGTACCCATGGGAATTCCAATAGATTGTTGGAATACCTGGTCTCTAAAAACCACATAGATATTGTCAATCAGAAACTCAAGCATCTGTATGATGTCAACTTCAGAGTAATTGTGTGTGCAGTCAGAATGTGATTTAGCAAAATAGTTCTGCAAATGACAAATGACCAGGACCCGGTTGCATCAACGATTTATCAAATTTAATGAATTATTAAGCCTAATGAATAGTTAAATTCTTAATGATGCATTAGTTAATGAAGGCATTAAAGTGTGTTGTACAAAACCTTCATTAGAGTGTTATTACTTAATGAATCATTAAATATTTAAGAATTCATTAAAGATCTATTAACAATAGGAAAACATCCCGTAATGCATTGCGTTACCACTTCCGTGGACGTTTCCTTTGTTTACTATTTACTTATAATAAAACCAGTTTAAAAATCCGCCAAATTAGAACTCATTTTTAATTATGACGCAAAAATTAAAAAATTACGTCATTTAACCAATTCCGAGCGTCTAAGAGGATAAATCGTAAAAAACGTCATTTCATCAAAAATCAAAAACTCTGCTGAACAATGACTGATAAAATTCAATTTAAAAACAACAGAAATCGGGGGAAAAATTTCGATTCAAGTGAAATTCAACTTTTAGCTGATCTAGTGGAGAGAAATGTTGACATGATTAATAGCAAACTCACAAACAGTGTTACCAACGAGAAAAAGAAAAAAATTTGGGACAACATCACTGCACAGATTAATGCATTAGGGGTTTCCAGTCGCTCAACTAAAGAAATCAAAACTAAATGGACGAATATGCACCAGACGGCAAAAAAGTAATTTAGCAACAACAAACTTTCACAGAGGCGAACGGGAGGAGGACCCTGCGCAAAACCTTTGTCGACGGTCAGCGAAAAAATTATCGACATCTATAAAGATTCTCCAACCTTTACTGGATTGTCTGGATTCGAGACTCAGGCACCTGGTAGGTTTGAGTTCTTAATTTGTAAGAAATACAGTGTATTAAAAACAAATTACTTATATTAAATGTTATATGGTCCAAATACAAAGACTGATTTGTAAGGGTCTTATTTTTTTTCCAGGGGGGGGGGGGGTTAAAACATTTATCGGAATAAAGTTACAAAATGATATATATACATGTACCCTAGAAGAAATATTGTGTAAATGCGCTAAAGTAGGCTTAACTATGAAAACTATAAGTACTGTGTAATGAACATAAAACATTTAATTATACCTGCGAAGAGGTCCTTTATATGGATTGGGCAGTACTATATATAGATAAATTGTTTTCACAAGTCAACTGTGTGCAAATTGACTAGATTCGAATTGATAATACATGTAAATGTAATTTTAAAGGAGAAATATTGGTGTCACTCACTCAAGTCAAGTAGACACAGTTGTAATCTGTAAATACCTATTTCGGACAAACATTGCAAAAAGTCACTTCATATATATCTACCAGTTTTCTCCCTTTGTTAAGCTTTATATCGCAGCAGTAGACATCAAAAGGACAAGCTTTACATGCCTCCTGTATGCTGAATCAGGATCGTTTACGTTGTTTAGTTTCAGTTAAATATTCCAAACAAAAAGCTGTGCGAGTCTCTTCTTTAAATCCCTACCGTGATACACAGGCAAAATAAAATATAGTCCTTCATTCACAAAATGACGTCACTGTACTAACAACGCCACCTATCGTGCGAGTGGCAATAAACGTCGTGTCCTTATTATAGCACAACACATTCATGAATCAAGCGGGTGGTAATTTATTTGAGTTGGTGGTTTACCTTATTTCATTAAAAGGTTTTGTCATGAATTTTTATGTAATTATAGCATTTTCTGTACATGGGTGTACCTCTTTTGACAACTTTCAGCATAAGGAGATTGGGGATATATGGGTCTAAGACTATTTTTAGTTTACTCTGAAATTCACCCCCCCCCCCCCTTTTTCTACTCCACCTCGGACTAGACTCCTCCAATGAATTTGTAAAACTGAAATGTGTTTTTATTTAGAGCATAATGGCCAACAGAGAATTTGAACAAAAAATTATTATTTTTTAAGAAATAGACGAAAGCATAGAGATCTTGGGCTCACCCCAAACCGTGTGTCTGCTAACGGAATTGCTCAATCCGAGCGATCAACCTAAAGAAGGAGAGCAGGTCGTCGATGAGTTGTCAGATCTAGCGAAAAATGTGGTCACCGTGGAGGCAGAGGTTCACGTTTCTGCAGCAGAAAAACCAACAACAGCGATGACGAGCATGGAGCCAAACATGTAATTATGATAATTATTCCTCAATAAATAAATTGTGAAAAGTTTGCATAAATGAACGTCTTTTGATTCAGTAAATAAGTAAAGCAACTTAATAATGTATTACAATGTTTAGTTCTGCAATTGAAGTGGTTACACTTGTAAACCTGTCCGAGTGTCGTATATGTGTAGTGACCTAGATTTACTAATTGCATGTAATAAGTTATTACATATTTATATATAATACTAGTAGGATTAAACAGAAATTCTTGCAATGATTGCACACATCGTTATGTTAGCAAGTTTTAACAAGAATGTTAAAGTTCGATCTTGCATTTCTAACAGTTACTTTCTAAACACATGCATTATAGGTCAAAAAAGGTGGGGGATATTGGTCAGCGCAAGAGGGTAAAACATGAGGACGTGACTCAAATGCAGTACGCAGTTTTGGTGGAACAACAGCTGAAACTACGGGAGCAAACAGAGTACTACAGGTTGATGAACAAAAAACTCAGACGGGAATTGGATATGTCTTCTGAAGATTGACTGATTTTTTTCTCTTCTTTTTCATATTGAAGGATATTTCACTTCCAATATAATTATGATTTTGGAAACAACAAATGCATTTAAAGTGTTTGTATAAATATCAGAGAACGCTTTCTGTTTCCGAATTCTCAGTATTTTGATAAATAATTCTACTCACTGTCATCATTTTTTCCATGAATCTCCGCATATTGATAAATATTCAATAAAAAAATTACAATACAATAAATGAAAAAAATACAATCACCATACACCAGTATATATACCATTGAACACCTCAACTAGCTGTTTTCATATCGTTTCACTGAATGCACATACAATACATGCACGTTCTTAAAAATAATGTTGCGTAATGTAATTTCTGATGTTTTTCCCATCCTCGGGTCCGTTGTACTGCCCTTGAATATTTCCATCGACATCCAAGTCTTGATCTTCGTCTATAAGAGGCTCCCGGAATAGAATTGCAAGATTGTGAAGTACAGCACATGCTCCTGAAATAAAAATATGTATGCAAATGTTAACCCGGCAAGTACCTAGATAATGCAAATATTATTACTTGCAGCCACGTAGCATCGTTTTTGAAAGTGGGGGGGGGGGGGGGGGAGTAGCCAGAGAATTTTTTTTTGATTTACCTAAAAAAGATGAAAAGCAAAAAAAGAAAGGGGGGGGGGGGGAACTGTCCAAACTCGAAAATCCTATTTCGTGGGGGAGAGCAGGATGGGGGGTAGAGGCCAACTCTTTTTCAATGCCAACTTCTTTCAGTACTCTTTTTTGCATTCAGTACTACATTTCCCTGATATCAATTTCCTGTAATATCAAGGGGGGGGGGAACCAGTCTTTGAATGAATATTTCTAATGAATAGTAATATTGGGAAAAAAAGGGGGGCACCCCCCCCCCCCCGTTGCTACCTGCCTGACTTGCGAATGCTAAATAAACATGTTACTCAGCTTATCAAATAAAGACATCTACTCAAGCCTTGTTATGTACATTTACCAATGACTGTGCAGACCCTCTCCGGTGTCATCCCTATTTCTGCATGGAGGACGTGAAATCGCCTCTTCCACCAACCAAATGCACGCTCAATGGTCACCCTGGTCTTCGAATGGGCCGAGTTGAAGCGTTCCTGGGCTTGTGTCGATGGTCTCAGATACGGGGTCATGAGGTAAGGTTTACATGCGTAACCGCTGTCACCAAGAACAATCCCATCCTTAATCGAGTGAAACTTCTCTTCTATAGTCTGCCTTATTCCTGACATACGGAATATGTGGCTGTCATGGGTACTTCCGGGCCATGTAGCTACTATTTTGGTAAATCGGCCTGAAAAATCATGCTCTCCTTTGAAGTAAAATATAGCAGTTTAGATTTCAAAATAACAAAGAAAATCTCTCTCTCTCACTCTCTCACCTGTATAATCACAGATCGCCTGCACATTTACTGAGTGGAAACCTTTCCTGTTCACATACGCTGGTTCATTTTGAGATGGGGCCTGGATTCGTACATGGGTGCCATCAATACACTCTATGACACCAGGGAATCCAGCCAAATTAAAGAATTCTTTTTTGATGATGGCAAGCTCGTCATCTTCAGGCCATTTAATAAACCCAGGGAGCCAGGGAAACAAGGGCTCTAGAAACTTTACGGACAACCCGAGAAACAGTAGACTTATTCACTCCAACAGTATCTCCGACGACTTCAAGAAAACTGCCACTAGCGTAATATCGCAATGAAATGAGTACCTAATGAATTGAAATAAAAAAATAATATAGGTCTACTCAATATATGAAGATTTTTGTCGAAAAAGAACCATTCGAAAAATTAAAAAAATTGCATGTATTTTATGACAAATTATGTTGTTAATGATCGACCTACATGTAAGATGTTGTTCTAATTATTTCAAGAAAGAAAACATTACATTAATCCTAAATTTTGAGTGGGTTTTACCTTAAGGGACATTGTTAGGGAAGGTTTTGATGAGATTTTTTTTAAATGCAAATAATATGTATGAGTCATATTAATTTTAAGTGTATCGGAAACGATATTACTTTAATGTGTGTTAAAATAATTTTGAGTTCGCCGGATTTTTTTATGCCATGAAATGTAGGCTAACTTAGTGTGTTCTTTTTCAATCCGACTTTTCTAAAAGCGGAAGAGATTGTGACATGAATTGGAAGAATTAATAAATCATAATGTTAGATTTTAGTTTTAACTTTTTATAGAATCACTTTGGTCAATCACGAAATAAATAACCGAATTAAAAAAATAAGTTTCGTTTTTAAACTTTTTTAGGTACAAAGTTCATAATATTCAATTCAAATCTAGTTTCTCTCGATTTACCGGCACAAAATCATGAAAAAACGAGTTCATATTAATTACAGTCAATTCTCGAATTATCGCCATTCGATTCATCGCCATTTTCGCTATACCGCCATGATTTGCAAGAACGTTTTTCCTGCTATATAAAATTCTCTTTATAACGCCAAATTCGCATACCGCCATCCGCCACCCTGTTTTCACAACAAACGTCCATTTTTAAGTGTCAATTATCTCGATATACCGCCACAGGTGCATGTGGTCAGTGAAGCGCGGCTAATTGGTTGACGCTATCCCTGTTGTAAAGCATGCAAAGCCAGGCAAGGTACATGCAATTAAATAATTAAATAAGAATTAAATAAACAATAATTTTAACATGAACTGTTATGATAATTTTGTTTTCTGTTTAATAAAAATCATTTAGTGACGGCTTTGCCACGAAGGCGGTCGTTGTTTAAGAACACAGATAACGATATTATTTTGATGATCTCTGCTTTAAACAATGCAAAATTTGCTTAAAAAATAATTATACGGTATAAATTGTGAACGTTTTATTAACAATGATGCCTTAAACAATGAATTTATTCAAGAATTCATTTTACATATTATCGGCGATATATCACGACGATCGACCCAGCATTTTTTTTTTCAATATCAGTCGTGCAGATTCACATGCATCCACATGTGCTTGTCTTTATTTCATAACTGCACATTTTGTTTTAGCGAAATTGTACATAAAAAATTACTTGAAGTATTTTAAAACTTAGAAATATGTTTTAATATGTACATGTAATAATGAGAATAGAAACGCTAAATTGTATTTCTAAGAACGGTAACTCTACTTCTGGTTTCCTAAACGATGGGAAATTCAATTCATCGCCAAATTCGTTATACCGCCATGATTTCTAAATTACAAAAGGTGGCGGTTTATCGAGAATTAACTGTATTTACAAAACAGATTTTGTTTCATAATCCGTTCAGAACATTAAACACTTTATTGGAAATTCACCTGATGAAGACGAAATATAATTAATGCAATCAAACAATCATGAAACACGCAGGATCGATGAGGTTAAATTTATTTTTTCAATTAACGAAAAAAGGTGAAAAGGTAAAAAATTTACAATGAAATTTGTTAAAATTTATACTATTCTAAAAAAAAACCCCGCATACTTAAGACCCATGATTGGTGAAGACAGTAAACAAATTATTATTAACAAATAAAAAAAAAAAAGGAGAACAATCATGAATTATGTATACAATATAGAAGTTAAGATAATTTAAGATTTATACAAGGACATAGTTATCCCCTCCCCCATTATATACATGTAGATCTCTATATAGTACTACAGTCATTCCCGTATAATTCATACAATTACCAAGTCCATAGTATTGAAAAACGAATTTAAGAGCAATGATATAATTTTGTGTTTGATTGACAAAGTAAACATCCTTTGTTAATAAAATGAAATTTTACACGTAAATCTTTCTTCGTTTTGTTTTTATGGCCATTCCAACTCACCACATGCAAGAACTCAGTAACGGAGGTTATAACTCAGTAAAAGCAGCTGTAAAGTTATTAAAATCTTTGTTCATGTTTTAATTTTTATTGAACTTCGAAGCTTTATCAATATACAGCTAAATTATAACAGAAGAAATTCTGAACTGCAAACATAAAAAATATTGACTAAATATGTGTAAATCCAGATAACAGAATTTTTGGACAATAAAATAAACACTATTTTCCAGTAGGAATATTGCCAAGCAATCAGAATATTACATTACCTGACCACTTGATTTGAAAAATGAAAGGATATATCTTTAGAATGAAAGACCTTTTCTGATTATAAATTGACCACTTTAAAAAGAAAAGTTGATATACAAATTGCTCCAAAATTGTAACGGAGGTTACACAAACTCATTTTGGAGATTAAGAGATAAAAATACTTTGTAAAACGTGTCAAACACACTTTGAAAATAATGTATTTACACAATTAAGAGTAAAACTAAACTGTTTTCCCCTCTTTTTTAAAGCAATTTACCAAAAAGTGTGTTTCGTTACGGAGGTTATTATGAATATTAAAAAAAAAGAGTTAAACGAATTTTAGACTTCCTATCAGCTTTACAAATTTATGTCGCTCAGCATTACTAAGGGTCAATCAACTTACTCAAATATTTATTAATATGTTACTGTCTTTTTTAACTGCAAATGTGAAACTGAAGATTTAAACTTCTATAACCTCCGTTACAAAATTCGTTTCGAAGAATCGGTGTGAATGCGTTTACCTAATGGTGAATTTAAATAAGAATAATTGGAAAACATACTTTATTTGTAAAGAAAGGATAAAAATATTTGTTTTAACGTTTTTTAGGCAAATACATTTATTTAAAAAAAAAAAACCAAATAATTTTAACCTCCGTTACGAAATACCTTACTGAACCCTGTAATAATGAAGCGATTTATTGAATCATTGTGAAGTAACTGTCACCATGGTCACACATAAGCATATTTTTTAAAGAAAACTTATTTAATATATCAGAATATGTGAAAAATTCACTAAACGACACGAAAATTCACTTTTTGCAGAAAAACACAACCTCCGTAACATCGCTGGATTTACGTATAAAAGAGCATAATTTCACTGTATACCGCTGATAGTTCACATAAGGGTGACCTTTTTGTGCCCATACG